TATATATATATGTAATACATATTATAAAAATGAATCCTGCTTTGAGCCTGTGAAAGGGCCTAGAACCAGAAAATCGACATGTCAAGAATGAGTCTTGCTGTCATGATTCATATATTATAAACGTGAAAGACAAAAATTATTGCTCAAACTCAAAGTAGAGTAAAAACTTGAATGATTCAAGTAGACCTACTAAGTGCGAGAACTTTAAGACTTCAGAGAGAGGTCAAGATGCAGTGACACTGGAAATCTGCCAATCTTGAACAGAAAAGTAAAATATAGTATAATTTACGATCACCCGACCTATGAAACGCGAACACATAAGTTCAATAACAAGACTTACAAGGTATGACGGATCCCGATTTCACACACGGCCAGCACCAAAGCGCGCTTTGTACTGTAGACAGCTCTAATTTTAAATTTAAAAAAAATAAAATCTGCTTCCAATTTTTTTGTCCTCTGGTGTTGCCTTCCGAACATCCCCACAGTTTAGTATCTTTAAAATTAAAAAAAAACCCCCAAAAAACACAAAATCAGTAACATAATCCCCCCCTCCCCCCACCCACCCGGAGTCCTATGCTTCCAATCGCTTGGACTTTGAATTAACTTTGGCCTTGGCCACCCCAATTACCGAACCGTGAACGCATGCAGGTTCACTGACCGGTCACGATGACGAACCCGAATAGCTGACAATTGGACGACGCTTTTCTTTTTTCACAGGTGACAGCACAGAGACAAAAGATTGATTTATTTTCATGGTGACACAGCGTTTATAGTGCTCAACTTGCATGTCTCAAATGTCGCCGGCTATGGAAGTACATGTACAGTCAAACCTGTGTAAGACGACCACCCATTGTCAAGAAGAAAAGTGGCCGTATAAGACAGGTGGCTGTCTTAGGCAGGACTGATCAAGATGAAGAAAACAAACCATTCCCATCTGAGGTCCCAATCGAAAGTAGCCGAATAGTTTTATTGTTTTTGTTGTTGTTGCTGGTTTTTATATTTCTAAAATGTTTATGTTGTTGCTGATTTTGCACAAGGGTGACAAACGAAATGTATCAGACGAGGAAGACCAAGTGCCATGTTAAAACAAACACATGGGTCGCCACCACTAGGAGAACAAGCGACGCTTCTGTCACAAATTCATGTTGACGCCCTTTGTTACTTTGTTACAGACTGGGTAAACAGTGACCACTCATCTACTTACGATTTGGGTATGACTTCTGGGCGGGGCTTATGGGTTATGAGGGATCACACACTTACCTCACCAGCAGCTGAAAATTGGTAGCTATTGGTCAACAGTGGGAGGGGCCTACTCTACGCAACATGATCGGTTGGACTAGTTGGAGGGACTACCTAACAACAACGACAGGTGATTGAATTATGACGGCTCGCCCACAACGCCAGGGGCCAATGCACAATTTATGACAAAACGTAACGGAGTCTCTAAGATGGCCGTCTAAGACAAGTGTTATTGTTTAGTGTGATAGGTGTTGTGGGTTAAAATATGGTGGCCGCGCTGCGTTGGACAGGTGCCCGTTTTACACAGTTAAATTATA